CTATCTATCTATCTATCTATCTATCTATCTATCTATCTATCTATCTAATCTATCATCCCTCCCTGTCTCTCTGTTTCTGTCTTTCTCTATAAATATCTATTATCTGTATCTATCATCTATCTATCATCTCTTTCTGTCTGCCCTGTGCATCATCCATTTGTCCATTCCATCTCTCTCTTTCTTTATCTCTCCCCCCTCCCCACATCTCTATCTACCTGATAGGAGAAGCAGTGGGTAGGTCAAAATCCAAATAAGGCCCAGAAAGAGCCTGTTTTCAAGCATTTGCCAGTTCTGTCTTTCCCCTTCTGAACTCCCAGAATAAGAACTCACCTTTCCTCCCACGTCACGACTTTTGGCCTTCAGCTTGTTGATTTGGGACTCTGCAATGTCCGCCCTCTCCTCGGCTTCGTCCAACTCATGCTGGACCTTCCGGAATTTGGCCAGGTTGGTGTTCGCCTGCTCCTCCTGGGAAGGGAGTAGAAAAGGAATTGAGGAACGCTTGTGGATTGCAAAACCCTCCCATCGTTGTTCTTGTGTTAATGCCACCCTCCATCTCTTCGTTTGGAATCCACTGTCCAGTTGTGGACACGACACTGCAGAAGGGACGGGAGAGAGAGATCAAGTTCTCGCCACGTGATGTGGAAACTGAAGTCCTGTGGAGGATCAGTTGAAGGATCTCGATATGATGAGAAGAGGCAGAAGAGCAGTTGTCAAATAATAGTAACAGAGTTGGAAGGCACCTCAGAGGTTAACTAGTCCAACCCCCTCCTCTCTATACACAGTTTCTGATAAATGATTGTCTAATCTCTTCCTAAAAACTTCCAGTGATGGAGCAGCCACAACTTCTGGAAGCAAGTTGCTCCACAGATTAATTGCTCTAACTTAGAACTTCTCCTTAGTTCTAAGTTGCTTCTCTTCTTGATTCATGTCCATCTTTTTTTCTTCTCGTCCTGCCTTCAGGTGCTTTGGAGAATAGGTGGACCCCCTTCTTCTTTGGGGCAGACCCTCAAATATTGGAAGACTGCCCTCAAGTCATCCCTGGTCCTTCTTTTCCTTAAATGAGACCTATCCAATTCCTGCAGCCGTTCTTCATATGTTTTAGCTTCTAGGCCCCCTCATCGTTTCTGTTATGACCATGATGGCGTTTACAGCTTGACTTCAGAAGTTGTGGGTACTTCATCCCTGGAGGTTTTTAAGACGAGATTGGACAACCAATTTGTCTCTGGGATGGTATAGGTTCTCCTGCTTGAGCAAGGGGCTGGACTAGAAGACCTCCAAGGTCCCTTCCAGTTCTATTCTATTCTATTCTATGCTATGCTATGCTATGCTATGCTATTCTAATTCTATTCTATTC